GCTTGCGCGCCTCCCCCCCCTGCCAGCCTCTGCCCCGCGCTGCGAGTCGGGCTGGGTCCCGTCCCTCCCGGGCACGGTCAGCAAGGAGCCAGCCGGAGCTGTGCAGCAGCCCGCCCGTGCCACATCGCCAGCGGTAAGTGTGTGTGTACTCACATAAGCTAGTGGTAGAGTGTGTGTGTGTGTGTGCGCACTCATAAGCTAGCGGTAGTGTTTGTGTGTACACACACAAGGTAGAGTGTGTGTGAGTATGTGTGTATACACATACGGTAGAGTGTGTGTGTATTGGTGTGTACACACATACGGTAGTGGTAGCCTGCGTGTGTGTGTGTACACACAGCTAGGGGTAGCGCGCACCTGTGTGTACACACACAAGCTAGTGGTAGGATGTGTCAGGTGACATATGTGTAGACAGGAGCTGGAGAACGGGGATTGAGGCAGAGCAAAGGCCAAGGAGAGGGGAACCATGTCAGAAAGCTTCTGCTAGGTAGGTTATTTTTTAAAAGCTCCATTTAAGATCTTGGGGAATGATGCTATGAGTATCCTTTCAGACACAGGCACATAGTTAGGAAAGCTCCTTATTGTGTTCTGTGATCACAGCTGGCGATATGCTTGCAGAATCAAGGGTGTGTGTGTGTGGGGGGGGTGCTCATATGTTTGGACGTTTTTGCAGCTTCTTCTCTTTTTGTGGAATGACACCTGCACACTTTTTTGCTGTTTGTTTTACATGGCCTATACACTTGAACCTTTCCTAATAAGGTTCTAGCTAGTAAAGCTGTGTATTAGGGATGGGTGGGTCAGGAGAAGGTCTTGAGATTCAGCCACAAATTTTAGTACATTGTGGATGGACTCCCCACCCTTGAAACTATTTTCTTTCTGCCTGCTGTCCCTCCTCTCCCCCCCCAATTGGAATACAGGGGCCTATACATGGTTTTGCAAACAAAAGCTAAGGAATTTAAAAATTCTATATTGTAAGGTTATAGGTAGTCCCATCCCTGCATTTTGTGGCAACACTTTCAAGTTGAGACCATAAGTTATTATTTTTTTAATGTTAAAAATATGTCTATTTCTCCCATTGTACAGATTGGAAAAAAGATGTTTACAGTACTTTCCCGCCAGCCCTGTCAGCAAACAGGTTAGTACTTAAAATAGGTTGGCATAGCTGTTTCAAGTCAGTTATTAAGATGAGATTCATGGGGGGATATGTGTACACATACACACATACACACACATATAGATGTATATTTAACTTTCATATTTCAGTGTCATGGAGAGGTTAGAGTCATTTTTCCTTTGCAGAAAGTGATTCTTTTTATGTACAATAAGCTATATGAAAGGGGAAAATGTTCTTTCCTTCCAATGTATTCCTGTGTGGTCCATTGTATTTAATTTAATTTAATTTAATAGGGACTGAAAGTCGCCTGTATTTATTTTATAACTTGTGCCAGAATGTTGTTGTTTTTAGTAATGAAGAGCAACGGCACTTTAATATTTCATCAACATCTTTTTAAATAATGTTGTTGGCTCTTTGCCTAAAATCCACCAAGTTAGCTAGAATGAGCCAAAATCTGCTCTCACTTACATTCATGCAGTGTTGTGGAAGTCAACAGGCCAAGTTAACCCCTCCTGCAACTTAAATACTTGGGATGAATTTTGTTCTCTCACTGTGTGTGTCTGACTGTAATTGGGATCGGGGGTTGCCTGAGTGTAACTGTGAGAAAAGTATGTCCTTGTGCTTCTGTTCCACTGACATGAAGTCTTCTAGGCTCTTGCACAGTTCAGCTAATGTAATTAAAAAAGATGTAGCTAACTTCATGAGGGCATCTGAAGATTGGGAGGAAGGAGAGGAGCGTAACTAATTCCTAGTTTAACAAAACATGTAGATGGTATCATGAGCTTTCGTGGGCAAAGCCCACATCTTCAGATGACCGGAGTGTTGAGTTAGGATGTGCAGACCCAAAATAAATAGGGGAGAAGGGGGAAGAAAAAAAAGGAGGGGGAGCAGGAAACAAGGAGCAGAGGTTATGAAAAAATCAAAGGGAAAAACAGGAAGGCAAAAGGCCTAGATTTATAAATTACGTTCTAAGGAAATTGTCTTACCTGGGAGTGACACTAGATTAAAAGAGGAATGTGACAGATGATGTTAATTTGCATAATACTCTTCACAAATCTCTTCAAGGAGAAAAGTGAAGTCCTTTTAGATAGGGTCAAATCCTGGTACCAGTAAAGCAAGGTTCCCTCTAAGCTGCACAACAGCATGACCCTACAGCTGCTTAATGAACCAACTGGCTCAATGCTCTGTCCTCAGCAGGGAGCTGCCGCTGTAAGTGAGGGAGAAATGCCCCACCCCCAGCCCAGCAACTCTGTGCAGGGCATCCCTTAGACCCTGGGCGAGATTCGTGAAGCAGCTGCGGGGCTGTGCTGCCACGCAGCTTAGAGGGAACCTTGCGGTAAAGTCAATGACATTTTTACAATTGACTTCAAAAGAACCAGGGTTTGGCACATAGAAATGTATGGTTTCCTGAAATATATAGGCATTAGAGTGCATTGCTCCCTGCTGAAAAGGCTATAGCAGAACAACAATATTTCATAATTTTAGTAGGTGCTCTGAAGTAATAATAATAATACTGATTTGCACTTTAATAGGGCTTGACACCTTCAAAGTTCTGTACAAATATTGATTAATTTGTCTTGATCATTTACTCTTTCATAATGACTTAGTCCCTTCCATTCTATAAGGGTATGTCTACACTAGCACCCTATTTCGAACTAGGGTGGTTAATGTAGGCAACCGGAGTTGCAAATGAAGCCTGGGATTTGAATTTCCCGGGCTTCATTTGCATATTGCTGGGCGCCGCCATTTTTAAATGTCCGCTAGTTGGGACTCCGTGCCCGTGGCTACACGTGGCACGAACTAGGTAGTTCGGATTAGGCTTCCTATTCTGAACTACCGTTACTCCTCGTGGAACGAGGTGTACCGGTAGTTCGGAATAGGAAGCCTAATCCGAACTACCTAGTTCGTGCCGCGTGTAGCCGCGGGCACGGAGTCCGAACTAGCGGACATTTAAAAATGGCGGCGCCCGGCAATATGCAAATGAAGCCCGGGAAATTCAAATCCCGGGCTTCATTTGCAACTCCGGTTGCCTACATTAACCACCCTAGTTCGAACTAGGGTGGCTAGTGTAGACATACCCTCAGTCCTTAATCCGTGGAGAAAAGATATGTATTAGAAATCTAGCTCTTGTATAACTGTCAGTTGTACGCTATCCTATGATCACAGAAAGCTACAAAATTATAAATTCTGCATGGAGAAGAATGTGTTATGTCTTATCCCCCAATAGCTATTGTTCCCAGATGGATTGTTAGAACTGGCTTTTCAATCTTGCATGAAGTCTGTTTTCAAACCAATGTATGTGAATAATTTCCATAACATTAATGACCATTAAGCATAGGTTCTAAAAAGGGACTGACCTCTAGGTAACTACAGATATTTCTGATATAAAACTAGAGTTTTGTCCTATCACACTCACGTTTCCCATACAATACTCATTTTCCTGAATTTCACAATTTCCCTCAAGACAATAAAGCAACATATAGTACAGTCAGGTAATCCACTATTATTGTGATTAGTAGTAGCTTAATGATTTTCATGCAGAAATCTCATTGGGTATGTCTACACTACCCCCCTAGTTCGAAGTAGGGGGGTAATGTATGCATACCGAACTTGCTAATGAAGCCCGGGATTTGAATTTCCCGGGCTTCATTAGCATAAAGCCGGCTCCGCCATTTTTAAAAGCCGGCTTGTTCGAACCCCGTGCCGCGCGGCTACACGCGGCACGGGCTAGATAGTTCGAACTATGTAGCCATTCCGATCTATCTGTACGCCTCGTTCCACGAGGCGTACAGATAGTTCGGAATAATTACGTAGTTCGAACTATCTAGCCCGTGCCGCGTGTAGCCGCGCGGCACGGGGTTCGAACAAGCCGGCTTTTAAAAATGGCGGAGCCAGCTTTATGCTAATGAAGCCCGGGAAATTCAAATCCCGGGCTTCATTAGCAAGTTCGGTATGCATACATTACCCCCCTACTTCGAACTAGGGGGGTAGTGTAGACATACCCATTATGATTAGTGGTAATGAAAATTAACTGAAGTGAGAGGCTGACCTTTAACATATAAAGGTCGTTAAGAGTTTTAGTATAAAGAAACTTGAGAACTTATGAGTGCACAAGATATTGAAAATGTTTGTCTCAATGCATTGACATGCCTCTGAGTGAGTGCTTGGTATAGTGAGTAAGGAGACTTTTCCATCATTTGCATGTACTGTGTGGGGCTTGTAACAATGCTGTCCCTGCACTCAGGGGGCTTATAAGGACTGTTCCCCATAGAACATAAGAACAGCCAGACTGGGTCAGACCATACGTCCATCTAACCCAGAACCCTGTCTGCCAATAGTGGCCAATACGAGATGCCCCAGAGGGAGGAAACACAACAGGTAATCATCACATGATTCCACTCCTGTCACCCATTTCCAGACAGAGGCCAGGGACACCATTCCTACCCATCCTGGCTAATAGCCATTGATGGACCTAACCTCCATGAATCTATCTAGCTCTTTTTTGAACCCTGTTGAAGTCCTAGTCTTCACCACATCCTCTGGCAAGGAGTTCCACGGGTTGACTGTGCACTGAGTGAAGAAAAACTTCCCTTTGTTTGGTTTAAACCTGCCGCCTATTAATTTCATTTGGTGACCCCTAGTTTTTATATTGTGGGAATAAGTAAATAACTTTTCTTTATTTACATTTTCCACACCAGTCATGATTTTATAGACCTCTATTATATCCCCCCTTAGGCTCCTTTTATCTAAGCTGAAAAGTCCAAGTCTTCTTAATTTCTCCTTCATATGGGACCTAAACCCCTAATAATTTTTTTGCCCTTTTCTGAGCCTACTCCAATGCCACTATATCTTTTTTGAGATGAGGCTACCACATAGGTACTGCCACTGTGCATATTGTCCCCAAGGGGGTGTGAAGAGACAGTACTGTGCTCTTGGCCACGCTCCGCACTGTGGTGTGGCAGTGAACCCTGCATAATACAGGAGTTGACTGTATTTTCTGAAGACTTGAAATGACAGGTGTGCCCTCCCTGGGATGGTGCTGCTCCCAGTGCCTGGCTGGGCCTACAGGGCACAACAGAGTCCTAAAGAAGTTTCTATTGCGAAATCACTGGCAGTCAGAACATGGACATAGGAAAATGTACAAATATTGGAAATTCAGAGGTATAATATGCCCTTCTCACATTCCATTTCAATTTCCCACAGCTGCAATATTCCCCTACATTCTTGTCTTCCATGGACCCCTTTGACCTCTAAGTATCCTTTAACCCTCTGCCTAGAGCCGTGCACAGATGCAAAATTAGTATGCAGATACTTGTGAATATAAAGTGGATATCCACACAGTTGTAGGGCTCTATCTCTGCCATTTCCCCATTTATCATGTCACACCAGAAGATTTTAGAGCTACTGCACCTTCAGAATCACCAGTCTGGCCCTGCTAACACTTCTGTAGCCAGGCCGATGTCCTTGTGTAGCCTTTGCAGCCAAAATCCTGGTTGTTTTACTCGTGTGAGCGGTCCCACTTAATTCAAAGAGCAGGGCCTGGATGGTATCGGTGCACAGTGCTTCTGACATTTGTACTATAATAAACTTCTAAGCTCTTTCTTTTGAGCAGAGCCCCTTTCGGCTTGCATGATGTAACATACATGATGGGCTGCACCTGCTGCTTATGTCAAAGTGTTTTCAAGGGGGAAAAAGAAAACTATCACACACATTTCCCAAAGTTTTAATTCTTGGTCTTCATTGTTAAGACAAGTGTGTATTTATTTTGTAATGAATGCAGTGGGAGGATATAGTCTCGGGAATGATTGATTTTGGGGGGTCAGTGTGAAGCTTAGGCAGTGTGGGAAGCTTGCACTGTGGGATCCTGGGAGAAGTTAACCCTTCCAGTTTTCCTCCCTAGATCACAGCGCAGCTTTCATACCACCCTTAGCCCTGTTCACAGCCTGCCCACTCCATTCCAGCCTACTTTCTCCACACCTCATCCTATAGTCTTTCACAGGGGAAGGGTGAGGTTGCTGTCTCATGGCACTGAAATGCATGAGGGCAGTGAGGTGAGATCTGCCCAGCAAGGGCCACCTCTGCATGCAGAGTTAAAGGGTTAGTAGAAATTAAAATGAAAAACCAGTACAAATCCTTCTCCTTGAACTCCCTAGTGAACATTTCCAGTGGAGCCTGGAGAGAGCATTGCCTTTCATGCACAAAACAGCTACACTTAACTTTAAGCTTAGTTTGTACATATACACTTAGGTTTGGTTCATAAACTGTTCAGGGCAGAGACCTTGTCTTACTCATGTGTTAGTATCCAGCATACTTTGGGCACCACACAATAATACTTTCTGTATTTACATGTATATAACCTACCTTGTGTTTCGCTGACACATCAGCACCTAGTTAGAAAATGTCTGCTATACAATGCTTAACTTGTCTCTGAATTGTTTTAGATAGTGCAGTATGTGATACTCATCAACTGCAGTTAGATTTTATTACAGGACTAGATAAATGGTGGCAAAATTCATCTTTCAGCAAGGCCCTGAGAGGAATAGAGACTCTTCTAGTGGCAAATCCTGCAGCTCATACTTAGGCAAAACTGATATTACTGGAATTTTTGCCGAAGAAGGGGCTGCAGGGTGTAACCCTTTGACTTAGTGATGATCCCTGCACTCCTTTACATGAATTTTCTCTTTTCTCTTTAGGTTTCAAGGTGCTCTCCAAAACTCCAACCATAATTGCTTTGGTATTTCTGCTTTTAAGCATAGTTGTTGTGATTGCTGTTACCCTTGTTCAGATCAAGCACAAAGAGGTCCTTTCTCCAGGACTGAAGGTAAGGTGTGTGTGTGTGTGTGTGTGTGTGTGTGTGTGTGTGTTTTTAAGGGAAACAGAAAAAATAAACTAAAATGTTCTTTGAAAAAATAATGCTGTGTGTTTCTATGCATCCTCACGGCAATCTCAAAATGCTTTACAGGGAAGTGCTAGCTAATTCAAGTCTCGCAGTGCCCCTTTGAGATAAGCATTAGAGTCTTTATTTTATAGACGAGAGGGGGGGTAACTGAAGCTGAAAGAATAAGTAAATGGCTCAAGATTACACAACAAACCAGTGACAAAGCTGCCATAAAAAAATCTTCATGCCCAAGCTTGTGCTCTAGACAATGCTTCTTTTAAGCCTGAATTGCAATAAGAAGAGAAATTTCTCTTTGTCAGTCCAGATTGAGGTTTTATTGGCAATAATTATAAAATGGCTTTCATTCAAGAAATGATCTGCATGTGAATCACATACCTAGGGGTTGAATTCTGCCCTCCATGATACAATCCCTGTGAGGCGCCCATGTTTGGGTCATAACTGTATAATGGCATACCCATCGCACTGGTTAGAACTTGTTAGCTCTATTATCCTTCCACGAAAGAGTGGGGAAAATCTGAAATGGGGAATGGAAACGCTCTGCAAAATCAGCTCAGTGTTTGCAGGTTCCAGATCATTAAAAGAAGGTATGTGCAGACTTCAGTCAGATTCATACATCTCTAAAACAATGGAAATCTACCTCCCAGACAAGTCCTGAATTCAGGTCCCAGGGGTGTTCTGTTTCCTCTCCTAAAGCTACTACCTGGTTTATGGGAAACGGCCCCTGAGGTGCTTTAGAGTCCTGCCCAGCTGCTCCCTTTGATAATGGGTACTACAGGGTGCTAGTTCAAGCAAATGTTGCAATCCACTTTATTGCTTAAAAAGTGCCTTTAAGGCTACAGTGCTATTTCCATGGTTGCCCATCATGATTCCTTTTCTGAGGGCTTTGCCCAGGGTGACTGCTGTAAGGCCAAACAAGTAGACAACACGGCTACTTCTCTGAAAGCAGTTGGCATGCAGATGCCCTGTCCTGCCCTCCTCTCTTTGCACCACTTCAGAATTCAGTGATGACCCTCACAAGTCATTTTTGAAATGACCAATTTGCTTCCTGAGTTCTAACAGCCTCCATGAACCTGCTGGGTGTGTCATTGGAGTAGCAGTGGCTGTTTCTAAGACAACTGCTATGGCCTTGGATTTCTTGTACGGCCTGAATACTAGGAGTTCAGGAGTTCCAGCCACAAGTCTGCACATCAGTACTAGGGTTGCCGGCATCTGGTTTTCAACCAGAACACCCAGTCGAAAAGGGACGCTGACTAGGCCTTTAAAAGTGCAATTGTCAGCACAGAAGGACTAAGGCAAACTCCCTACCTGTGCTAGCTCTACATGGCTTCTGTAAATGGCTGGCATGTCCCTGCAGCCACTAACACAGGGATAGCCAGGGAAGTTCTGCATTCTGCCCCCCGCCCCAAATGCTGGAGCCGCAGCTCCCATTGGCTGCATGTTCAGTATTCTGCAATCAGAAAGTTGGGCACCCTAATCAGGACAGGTATGGACTTTGTATTTAGTTTGGAGGAGATTCAGTGTCTCTTGAGAGGTACTCGACCTTGCAGAATTGGGCTCTATGGTGGAGAAGGTGCAGTGTGAACAGAGAAGCCGGTAGTATTCACAATTGGAAAGTATGGACGTAGAGTATCCTAAAGTTTAGACTTAGTTTAACTAAATACGGAAATTGTTAGAGAAAGTGTTTCCTCCTCAGAAGTATCTTTATCTTAAACTACTGTCCATTAAACTAAAACAAGCATCAGAATGTGACCCTCTAAAGCCAGTGTGATTACACAGTAGTTCTTCCATAGAGCATTGACAGCACTCCGCCTTCAGAGACCTACTTTTATAATACATAGACACAAATTGTTGTCTTATGCAATCTGTGTCCTGTTGTGAATTTTTTTGCCCAATTAAGTACTTATTTCATGCCTGTCAACTGATGCCTCAGATCCTCTTTCCATCTCAGTAGTTCATGAAGGACGAACTAGTCTATTCACATAGATTGAGGCACTGAAAGGGCTTGTGACTCATTCAAACATTGTGAAATGAGAGTAGTGATCAAGTAATTTATCCTGCAGTTAAATTACATGGAAATAAGTTCAGTGTTGTAAACAACCCTAGCTTTTAATAGGTAGCAGGTTTAAAACAAACAAAAAGAAGTTTTTCTTCATGCAGCGCACAGTAAACCTGTGGAACTCCTTGCCAGAGGATGTTGTGAAGACCAGGACTTTAACAGTGTTCAAAAAAGAAATAGATACATTAATGGAGGTTAGGTACATCAATACTTATTAGCCAGGATGGGTAGGAATGGTATGCCTCGCCTGTTTGTCAGAGGCTGGAAATGGATGACAAGAGAGGGATCATTTGATGATTACCTGTTCTGTTCATTCCCTCTGTGGCATCTGGTATTGACCACTGTCGGCAGACAGGATACTGGGCTAGATGGACCTTTGGTCTGACCCAGTATGGCTGTTCTTATGTTTGACACATAGCGAACTTTGGTACTTATGGAAAAGTTTCTATGTACCTATAGGAAGTATTTTGCTCCACGCTAATGTTTTCTATTGTTCTGTCTCTGGTATCACACTATCTTTTTTTTTTTCCATTTAGCACATGATTTTCTTTGTGTCCTTAATGTATTTTGAAAATGGCATATATATAAATGTAAGCAGAGTATATTTGTATGGATTCAGACTGATTAGTTCCAGAAAACCTTGTCTATAGTTCCTGTGATTTAACTAAATCCATACAGTTAAAGTGGAGCTGGGCCCTAATGTGGATGTATTTAAAACTGTTACCAGTTTAGCTTTTGTTGGAAAATTACCAAACTTAAACTAATCCAATTTAAGCAAGGGTTGACCATCTTAAGTATGTTTTCTGCAGGGATTTGCATCTGTTTAACTAGATGGACTTCAAATTGAGTTAAACTAGTGCAACTTTTTCCAATTTGACCAGGTCTTTGACTTTGTCTACCCAACTACTTTTGTTGGTAAAGATTTACTCAGCCAGGGATGTGAAAAAACAACCCCAATGAACATAAGTTTCACTAGCAAAAGTGCTGGTGTGGACAGTACTACATTGGCAAGAAAGGTTCTCCTGCCAAGATAGCTAACACCGCTTATTGCGGGGTTGGCTTAATTTTGTGGGCAGGAGAGCTCTCTCCTGCTGGCAAAGAGTGGATACACAAGCAACCTTACTGTAGCACAGCTGTGCCATTGTAAGAGTTGTAGTCTAGACATAGCCTAAATCAGTGGTCTCCAACCTTTTTACACCCAAGATCACTTTTTAAATGACAGAACAAGCCAAGATCTACCGCCCCGCCCCTTCCTTGAAGCCCCGCCCTCTCTATTCTCCTCCTCTCCATCACTTGCTATCCCCAATCCTTATACTGCTGCTTTTTTATTATTATTATTATTCTGTAGGAAGAGGTTTTTCCAACATTTGGCCTATCGACACTGGACCAAATGTCAGAAAAAAACCCTTCTTTTGGAAACCACCTTATTCCTTGTGGAAAGAGGAATATAGGGGTGACCAAAAGAGCCTGTTTGCTCTTCCACTAAAAAAGCGGAAGAACAAACGCAACCCTGGATGCAGAAGAGTTTTTCTGGGATATCTCCAGAATCCTGAAAAACTCCTGCAGTCTAGCTGGACCCTTGCTGTGTTGAGACAGGATGTGTAGGCTCTGGGGTGGGAATGAGGGATTTGGGTGTGGGAAGGGGTGAGAGGTGCAAGCTCTGGGAGGAAATCTGGATGCAGGAGGAGGTGGAGAAGGGGACACTGGCTCGGGGAGGGGGCTCCAGGCTGGACAGTGTTGGGATACTAACAATAGCAAGCTTCCCGGGCTGAGTGCAGGGCAGCCGGGTGGGAACAAAGAGAAGCGGCTTCCAGCCAGCTGGCCATGGTGCTCAGCCAGGGTGCACCAAGCTCCATGTGGGCAAGCGCAAAGGGGAAGC